TATATATTAGAGTTCTATATAAATATCAATAAAAAGTATATAAATGTCATTTTTGCTTCAGCAGGTTCTATACATCATACAGATGCGCCACTTTACGGTCAGTGAAAGGGGACCCCCCAGGCACCATATATAAAGGAATTTTTTATTTTTAATGTTTCATTTTAAGTGATGTTAAATCACTGCTCCTTTCAAAATTGTATTTTTTAAAAGGGTTTTTTTCATTGATACATGTCCCCCAGGGCAGTACCCGGATCCTCATACACTTTTTATGGCCAATTAATTGCATATAAGGCTTCAAAATGGGGACATTTAATTTTCTGAGTTCTACCCCCATAGACTTGCATTGAGTTCTAAGTTTGAATTAGAACTTTTTCCATGTTCGAAAGTTCGGCTCATCCCTATTCACCACCAGCAATACAATTATGTTCAAAAAGGGAAATCAGGGCACTCCAAAAAAAACAGTGTGAATTCTTTATTCCATCCATTGACATCCAGAAAATGTCTCAGAACAACATATCTAACGCATTTCACGCATACGTGGGTTTATTCATAGAGTCACTTAGTTTATTTGTAGCGGTGAACGCTAACACAATGCACCAAGAGTTTGACCGGTAGCTGTGAAAGATCACTTTTCCAACACACATTTCCAACGTCTATATAGCGATTATGTTGCTAGCTACAAGTCCTTTCCAGTACCAGTAACCTACCTTGGCTTCCAATGGAGCTTCGGGACGTGTGTAGAATTTGGCAATTACTTCCCTGCTTGACTGATAGCCTAGAAAAGAATAAGAATATCAGTACTGCAACCTTTTTTCCATTGAAGATCATGCAAAGCAGCCAATTATTATTATACAGGATTTATATAGGGCCAACAGTTTGCACAGCGCTTTACAATATAAGGAAGCCATTACAGTCACAATACAAATCAAGACAAGATGGTAAGGAGGGCCCTGCCCCTGAGGGCTTACAATCTAAAAGAGAGGGGCAAGTGATACATGAGGAGGTAGCTGTATGGGGATGAATTGTTTGAGAATGTGATGGTTGAGTGGTTATGTTGAGGTGGGATTGACTTCCCTGAAGAGATGAGTCTTTAGGGAACGCCTACAGGCAGTCAAGGTGTGAGATAGACGGACAGGTTGGGGTAAAGAGTGGCCAATGAGATGTTGTTTTTATTTTTTAATTTACAATTGATAAGGGCCACACCTACATATAGTTTTGCATTATAATGTAGGTTTCATAAATGTTTAGTAAAGTAAAGAGAAACCACCTAATGGTTTCCTATATATTTTAAGGACACTGGTGGCAATATGTGTTATATGATAGAGAATGCTGGTTGATCAGGGGCATACAAAACTTCAACTTGGGTGGGATTGGAGCCAGAAATAATGGTGGGGAGATCTCACTGCTGAAGGACCATAAGAATATTACATTGGGGTGGAGGGAAACTCTAATTATCAAGAATAAGTATTTAAATTGATGCCAACTAGGGGCGTGGCTTGGCGCATGGAGTGGTGAGACGTGTATCGGCTCGTCTCCCACTCAAGGGCACATTATACTGCAGACAGCAGCAGCTTCCTAGCCCACAAACACCGTCAATGAGTGACCGGAGGAAGAGGAGCAAGAAGCAGGGGATAAAAGGACCCGCGCCGCGAGAATGAACCCGATTTTTTGCCCAAATGGCACCCGCGGCCTCTCACTCTGCCTCCACACATGCAGCCAAGATGGCGCCGCCTGAGCTCTCTCCAGCACACTCTGAGACTCCTACCATGGAACAGGTGAGCCAGACACAGGAGGGACGCTCACCCCAGAGCCCAGGGGGTCTATCCCAGCACTCCAGGAGCATGTCACAGGCCTCACTCAGCTCAAAGGAGGGTTGGCACATGGAGGCATACAGAAAAGCCTTGCCCACCATGAAGGACATTGAATCCTGCTTCTCTCGCCTTGAGAACATATATAAAAGGGAAATTGTCCACCTTAAAGAAGGACTTAAACACCAGATTAGAAGATATAGAGCACTCCTCTGCTGAATTACACTCCCACATACAACTGCATGATGCCACTCTGCAGGAGCATACAGTGCTTCTTCACCAATTGATTTACCAGCAGGATGATCAGGAAAACAGAAATCGGCGTAATAATATTCGCATAAGGGGATTGCCGGAGTCTGTTCAACAGTGACCTGGAGGCTGCAGCGAGGGCACTTTTCAATCAGATCCTGAATAGACCTAGGGACACCCCCATAGAAATGGACAGGATTCATAGAACACTGGGGGCTAGGCGTCCTGACCGATCCAGTCCCAGAGACGTCATATGCAGGATCCATTTCTTCAAGCTTAAAGATGACATCATGAGGGCTGCTCGCACGCAAGACGCCATCATGTTCAATGGCTCCCCTATACTTCCATTGCCGGATCTCTCAGCCCACACGCTTACTCTTCGCAGGGCTCTGCGTCCCCTACTTGATCTACTCCGCCAACGCAACATCAAATATCGATGGGGCTTCCCCTTCCAACTTATTGTTGTACACAACGGAAAATCAGCTGTCTTTCGCTCCATGGGCGACCTCCCCTCCTTCTTGGGTAAGCTGGAGCTTCCACAAGTTGCCCTCCTGGACTGGCCACTCACACCGACCCTACCCGGTTTTGTACCAGCTTCACCCTGGATGCTAAAGTCGAGAAAATCTGCCGGGCTGGCAGAGGCCTCATCCTCCTCCAACACTTGACTGGTGACCCACTCGCCTCTACACTTCTTCACCTCCAGGGGTGTCCTGGAGGGGACGCAATTTTAGGCAGAAGTAGGGTGATCCATGCCGTTCACCGGTTGTTACCCGGTGCCCCACTTGGGAAGTTTGCCGTGGTTGCCCGCCACGTTTGCTGCTGTCGTCCATAAAGTTACCATTATTGTTACTGTACTGTATTCTATGCATCTAGTTTGAAGAGCCGATTGTTTTATTTTATCTTTTTTCTCTTTACTTAATGCTCATTTGGTTACTGTAGCCTCGTGCTACCTCGTTTTCATTTAATGTTTGAGCCCTGGAGCGGGAGGAGCTCCTCGGGCTAGCCATTTTACCCCCACCTAGGCCGTCAGTGAGTGAGCTCACTGACATTTTGAATGTCTGTAGTGTTTATTGGACCGTGCTTTGGTCCCTAGAAATGTCCTTATCTCCTTGCGCCACTAGATGGCAGGAGTGTACTTATTTTTTACTGTACCCTTCTTTCCTCCTATCCTCTGTCTACTGCTTTCCTGTCTCCCCCCTTCCTACCCCCTCCCTTCCCCTTCCCACCCTCGTCCCTGGGGGTTATCACGGTGTCGTGTTGAGGCCCCTTAAACCCCCATGATGACACCCACTCATATTGCCTTAGCGACCCTCAACATTCGGGGATTTAACACTCCTCAAAAACGTAGCCAGGTGCTTTACCATTTTCATAAACACAAGGTAGGGGTCTTGCTCCTGCAGGAAACTCACTTCCGCAGTGATACCATTCCCAGCATAACACCTAAATATTATTCGGAGTGGTATCATAGCACTAACTCTGTTGCACGATCCAAAGGTGTTTCTATAGACTTCCACAAAACCTACATCCTGAGATCCTGCAGCAACAAACTGATCCCTTGGGTAGATTCCTTTTCCTGAAAGTGAAACTTTTTGGTCATATATACACTTTGGCTAATGCCTATTTCCCCAACCAGGACCAACTGACCTTCCTTGCACGGATAGTCACGTCTCTGGAGAATTTTGGATGCCCTAACCTGATCCTGGGAGGAGACTTCAACCTCGCTCTGGTGCCCTTTCTGGATTCCTCTTCCGGTAAGTCCCCACTCTCGCACACCTCCCTATCTAAATTTAAAGAGCTATTACTTCAGCTACAGCTGGTGGACGTGTGGCGGGCCCCTCCATGCCTCTGACAAAGACTATACGTATTTTTCTCCGGCTCACAACTCGTATAGTAGGCTAGACTATATATTCTTGGCACAACATCTGCTGGACTCGACCCCTGCGGCCAACATTGCACTCCGCATCTGGTCTGACCATGCCCCTGTATTCCTCACTATGGGAGTTCCCACTGTCCAACGTACCAGTTTCTCATGGAGGCTAAACGACCATCTGCTGACTGACCCCCTGTGTCTGGACGAGATTACGACAACGCTTAGGAATTTCGTATCAGACCATGCCAGGGATACCACTCACCTGCTAACCCTGTGGGAAGCTCTTAAATGTGTGGTTTGAGACGCTTTCATTAAACACGGTTCTCTCCTTAAAAAAGCTAGATCCACCCGAGTTACTGAGCTTCTAGCCTCAATCGCTACACTGGAATGTGTGCACAAAACTACACAGCTAGACTCCATCTATGTGGAACTGTCAAATGCCCGCAGGGAACTGTTATCCATTCTGGATTCTAGATCACATAATGCACGTAACAGGGCATGTAAAATTAGATATGGATCCGCTAACAAATGTGGCCGACACTTAGCCAGAACACTACACCCGCAGCCCCCGAGAGCCTTTCTCCCTTTTATTCTAGACCGTCAGTCATCTAAAATTCACTCAACCTCTGGCATTGCAGGTGAATTCCGCCGATATTACGCGGGACTGTATAATCTCCCTGCTCCTACCCCGGCCCAGCTAGACGGAAGTCTCCCTGACTCGTTAGCGGATTACATCGCGCAGACTGCTCTGCCAACCTTAGACCCTGGGGTGGTGCAAGCACTAGAATCCCCATTTTCCCAACCCGAGGTAGACGCGGCTATTAAGGCCCTGGAGGCGGGTAAATGTGCGGGCCCGGACGGCTACTCGCCCCGGTTTTATAAAGTGCTCTCTGAGCTGGTATCCCCCATTTTGACCCGCACCTTTAACTCGGTGGACGAAGCACACCCTTTCCCATCCACCATGTTAGAGGCAAACATCTGCGTTATCCCCAAGCCTGGCAAAGACGCATCCCTATGTCAGAACTTTAGACCAATATCACTACTTAACGTTGATATCAAACTGTTCTCCAAACTCTTAGCGCTGCGTCTTTCCCCATCCTTGCCGTCCCTCATTAACCCAGAACAGGTGGGATTTGTGCCGGGGAGGGAAGCTAGGGAGAACACCACTAAAACGGTTCACCTCATTTCTCATGTTCATAAACAAAACATTAGAACGTGTTTACTATCCATAGATGCCGAGAAGGCATTTGATCGAGTAGATTGGGGGTTCCTCCACCAGGCACTACTTCAAATAGGACTAGGGCAATCCATCATCTCTAGGATCATGTCTCTATATTCCTCCCCCACGGCTAGGGTGATGGTGAATGGCGCATTTTCTGAGTCGTCCGCCCATCTCCAACGGCACCAGACAGGGCTGTCCCCTATCCCCGCTCCTCTATGTTATTGTGATGGAACACCTGGCACAAGCAATCCGATTGAACCCCGATATACACGGGATCCCCACTCCCTCCTTCCACCACAAGATGTCCTTATTCGCGGATGACTTACTACTATATATCACCAATCCCCATATAAGTATCCCAGCGCTTCTTAAAGAATTTGACAGATTTGGTAGGTACAGCAACTTTAAAGTTAATATGACCAAGTCCACTGCCTTAAACCTCACGCTAGCACCCTCTACTGTCACAACTCTACGAGGCAATTTCCCCTTTCAGTGGAAATCCCGCTCCCTCACCTATCTGGGCATCTCCGTCCCATCTACATTAACGGATCTTTTCCAACTAAACTACTTACCCCTCCTGAGCTCCCTTCGCCACACTTTTGATTTGTATAGCAACATGAAGATCTCATGGTTTGGTAAAATAGACACCCTAAAGATGGAGACTCCCCCAAAACTACTTTACCTCTTCCAGACTATCCCTATAGACCCCCCGAAACACTTCTTCAGTACTCTGCTCTCTATGGTAAATCGTTATGTGTGGCAGAGGGGCTACTCCCGGGTCCGATATAAAACTTTATGCAGACACAAATCCCGGGGGGGGGGGGGGGGAGGGACACCTGCCTG